TTTATTTAAATTTGTTTTTTATTATTATGTTTAATACTTAAGTCATGGGTCGCTTTTAATATATATATAAACGTATTTCAAGGATGACGCGGTCCAGGACTACGACTCCAAGACTTGGGACATAAATGGCCAGTGTCTGTATTTTAGTAGTCTGGAAGAGGAGTGCAAGCGCCCTCTGGAGGATGGACTCCCTACATCAGAGTACGAGAAGAGGGCGCGAGCTCTGATACTCTGGTGTATTGGGTCCTTCTTCTTCCCCGACCATCGGGCCAACGGAGTCAACCTCTACTGGTTGTCCCTGTTGAATGACATCGATGCCATTCCGAGGTACAGCTGGGGTGGAGCGGTTCTGGCCGGGGTATATAGAGCGCTCTGCGACGCCTACGAGACGCGGGAAAAATATATCAAGAGCTGCGTGCAGTTGATTCAGGTAAATTTAACTACTTGTTAATTGAAAATTAATTTTATTTATTGTAAATTACAATAATATGTGCTAAAAAATGTATATGTCCATATGTGCAGGTTTGGGCATGGGAACGCATCCCTCGTGTTCGCCCATTAATGACAAGAACACATTTCGGCTCTCAGGCGGGTTGTCCCTTGGGTGCAAGGTAATAATAACATTTATTTATATTCAACACTTAAGTTATTTCAATTATCAAAATTTGTAATTACAAATAAAACTTTTTCTGTGATTTTTAAGGTGGGTGGGATCGAGGGACATGAGACACCTGGTGACGGGCACGGCTGCCATCCGAGATCAGCTGAGTGGCCTGAGAGAGACTGATGTAAGTTTCTTAGGTCATAATAATGAATAATTATTATTTTTTTTAATTCTATTTTTTATTAAATTTATTAATAATTCTATAAATTTTTTTTTTTCACAGTTCGATTGGGTACCCTATCAGACGTACATAGACGAGGGTCGGCTCCCTGAAGTGTGCACACAAGACCGACATCTCTGGATGTACAAGGGGTGGATCTTCTGCTGGAACATCGCAGAACCCCACGAGACTGATAGGGTGCTCCGCCAGTTTCGGTGCCACCAGCCCATCCCCCAACAGCCGCTCATTACTAGTCTGGCCGACTGGGACACCCGCCACAAGGGCCAGGGCATGACTGGGAGGGCATACACCGATTGGCAGGCCTTCCATGCTGATCTTGGGAGGATCTGGACCGAAGAGAGAGATCAGAACGTCCTCCAAGATGTCCCGGTGGATCCCTTCCTGCAGCCGGCAGATGGGTACATTGATTGGTTTCACAGTAGGACTGTGAGACTATTCAATGACCCCAACAACTACGCGGCGATCTCACAGGACGGCGGGTTTCAGCCATATGCCGACCGGGAGAAGTGTCAGGTAACTGTCTTCAATGAAGTAATTATTATTATTATTATTATTTTTAATATTTGATAGTTATTTGAATTTAATTTTGCAGTTTTCGGGTACGGAGGTGGCGTATAACATGCTAACGAACATTGAAGACATTGATACGCTACCTCCCCGAGCGCAGTCACAGTTCCAGCAAGCCCAGGAACTTCTGTACGCTTCTCTGACTGTTGGGGGTCAGTCGGTCACACAAGGGGCGTCGTCGGAGCAAATTCTATCTCAAGATGAGTACGCCCCACCCCAGCATACACATTCTCAGCGGGCGAGGCATAGACCGGCGCCCCACATTGGTGGAGGGAGAAGACGCCGTGACCACGAAGAAGGTGAGATTTTTTTTTTTAACTACAAATATATATATTTTTTTTGTTTCTTTTTATTTATTTGTCCGGTCGAATTATTGATTTTTTACAAAAATTAATTAATTAGATGGACAAGAAGAAGAAGAACCAACCACGCCTGGACCGACCGCAGGATCGTCTTCTTTGCAACCGGGGCCTCGGAGAGGGTCCCGAAACCGCAAGGCTAGGAAACCATTTACTCCTAGTTAGTTTGTTTTTGTATTCTGTGATTTTGTGGACATATTTTTTTTTATTTTTTATTTTTGTATTGGATTTACAGATATTTATTTTTGATGGTTTTGGGTACATATTTTGTGGTTCATTTTTTTTTTGTCGGTACTTATGGTTGTCTTTTTCTATATAGTGTTTCATATATGTATGCATGTTAGATTTTATCATTTGACGAATGAATTGATATTAAAATGATATTATTTCTTGTTCAAAATGTTAAATTGAAATTTATAAAAAATCTTAATATTGAAGGATAAGAATAAAAAATTCAATTAAAATAAACGCAACGCGATCGCTGATAAACGAGTTCGTGAACATAATCGAGCCTTAAAAAAAAAAAAAATAATAATAACATAAAAACGGATTCTAAGAATCCGTTTTTTTTTTTTAAAAAAAAAAAAAAATCAAATAATAAAAACGGATTGCGAAAATCCGTTTTTAAAACAAACTCGGATTTAATTAAGGTTAATCACTTAATTAAATTTTAAGTCACTTAATTAAGGAAAAACGGATTATCAAAATCCTTTTTTTGTCGGGATTAAGTAAAAACGGATTTCGAAAATCCGTTTTCCCTTGAAAAACGGATTTTCAGAATCCGGCCGTTTTAATTTTTTCCACGTTTTATTTTTTTCCACATATTTTTTTTTTTTTTATATAAATAAATGATTCCTTACAACATAATCAAATTTCAGAAAGGCTAAATTGAAAATTTGGTCTTATTAGATTATGAGTTTGCAGTTTGGCTCCCACCGGAGTGCCATACAATAATTTTTATCTTTTAATTTAACCATAAATCCTCAGTTTTCTTCTCTAAGAACTCATCTCCTGAAACCCTGCTGAAGTTTGTTCCATAATCCCTGGTATTTCAGTGGTCAAAACCTCTAGATTGCCCTTGGGGCTAGGTAGGTCCAAGAGAGAAACTTTTGCTTTTGTCTTAAATAAAATCATGCATAAGATTAGTAGCTGGAAGAATATCTTTCTCAGTGAAGCTGGCAAAGAGATCTTGTTAAAAAAATATGTTTTGTTATGTCCTGCTTTAAATCTTCCAAATCTCTGTGCCTAGATATTTGCAGATTGGGGATAGTTTGGATACTTGTCTCTGGCATGACCCCTGGATACATGGCTTGCATAATCACTCTCCTTCACCTCATTTTCAAGGCTTACAAAACTTGCAGACCTTCTCTGTAATAATGGAAACTCCTGGGATTATGAGCTGGTGCAACAGACTTTCTCTACTTTTGAAACTGGTCTTATCTTAGCCACACCCTTGACAAGACCAAATCAGAAGGATAGATGGCCATGGAGACTATCTAAATCAGACATATTTACAGTCCAATCCGCTGAAGAAAGGTACACTTTGTCAACCTGAGTCCAGCTTCTCTTCCTTTTGTCTCTCTAAAATGTGGAAAGAGTTTGAAAGTAAAGCCCAAGATAAAATTAACCATAAAATTTTAAATTACAAAACTTAAATTGTTAATCAAAATTCATCTCAATATATGAATCGAGAATTTCCACGGCATTGAAATTGCAGTAAAATTTTACATTTAAGGACTTAAAATGTCATATATTACTTTACTGGGACCTAAATTGCTATTTTCATAATATAATAAGTACAAAGTTGTAATAGCCTTATTAGTTTTCAAAAAGTTGAATCATCATCCACAGAATTTCACTGGGAAGGGAAAACTTTGAAGTTTGTGAAAAGAGAAGCAACAACGGAAGTCAACAAACCAAGACAAGTGGTGCATTGAAAGTCGATGTTGATTCGAGTTTTGTTCAGAGAGTCGATGAATGCAACTCACACATTAAGAAACCGGAGAAACAAAAACCGTCCACAAAATGACCATCAGATTCTCGGTCATTTTCCACAAATTATCCAGAGAAAAGAATCTGTTCTTTTTTCATAGTCTATGTTGCAAATAGGACAAAATACACATGGCTCATATTTTCATGAATGAAAATCATTACACATGGCTCATATTTTCTTATTTCAGCATAAATGAACCAACTTATTCAAACAACAAATCCCCTTCAATAAACTTTATGATCATCCAAATCTGTTAAAGCTATCTGGGCTCAATCTATTCAATAAACTTTATGATCATCCAAATCTGTTAAAGCTATTTGGGCTCAATCTATTCAAACCAAAGGTAAACACAAAACATCATCATCATACATTCTCACCTCCATCTTAGCTAAGGTTTCTTCTTGAGTTTTTACTTTTAGTTTGACTTGATTTATATTCCAACTTTTGAGGTCCTTCTTTCTTTTTCTTTTTTTTTTTTTTCTTGATTTGAGTTAATAGGAAAAATGGAACTGCTTCATCATGAACACTTGAATTCATCCTATGGATTTCTTTCTGTTGTCCGATCCATAGCCAAACGTCCGTCTAGCCGATGCCTAATGTGGAACGTATAGAAGACAAGGACAAGGGCAAGTTATGATCGTTCGAAGGTTGTTCATCGCAGACCTCAAAATGAACCAAAAACTTTGTGTTGTTCGGGTTCGAAATCGCTATTGTCGTATTTAGTTATTTATTTATTTATTTTGCAGGGGAACAATGATTCTGATCGAATCCATTGCAGCTGAAGCTATAGACAAGTGATCCTGATCTTAAATTCCACAGGGCTAACACCACTACAATTGTTCTTTTTTCATAGTCTATGTTGCAAATCGGTCAAAATACGCATGGCTCGTATGTTCATGAATGAAAATCATTACACTATTGAGCATCTTCTTATTTTCAAACAACAAATCCCCTTCAAATTCTGTCATCATAACTTTTTGTTCATCCAAATCTGTCAAAGCTATTTGGGCGCCATTTATTCAAACCAAAGGTAAACACAATACACCACACGTTCTCACCTCCATCATAGCTAAGGTTGCTTCTTGAGTTTTTACTTTTAGTTTGATTTGATTTATACTGTAACTTTTGAGGTTCTTTCTNCAATCAGAGTTTTTTTTTTTTTTTTTTTTTTTTTTTTTTTTTTTTAATTCTTTATTTATTCATTTTTCTTTTTCCTGATTTGAGTTGTTAGGAAAAATGGATCTGCTTCATCATGAACACTTGAATTCATCCAATGGATTTTTTTCGGTTGTCCGATCCACAGCCGAATTTCCTGACTGGGCACTGGACAAAGAGTCGTCGTTTCCTTCTTCAGGCCAGATATCAAATGTCGAAGACCACGAGAGTGGAAAAGGTTGTGATATGTCAGATGCCGCCTTGAGCTACATTGACCAGATTCTCATGGAAGAGGACACGGAAGATGGGGCCCACACGCTCCAAGGGTCGTCGGATTTTCAAGCGACCGAGAGATCCTTCTACGAGGTACTGGGACAAAAATACCCCCATTCTCCGCAGCAAGAATATCCGCAGCTTTATGCTGATCATCACTATAGTTCGATGAGTGGATATCTAATTGATGTCGTCCGCGAAAGACGGTTCAAAACTCCCACGGGCCCGTTTGACGGTCTCACGGATCACATTGTTCCGTCCAACTCCTCCATTAGCCCGTCGAGTGGCTTGTATAGCATCGTAAAGCATAAAAGATCTTTTGGCGGGAGTGAAGTGGTTTGGGATTTTAAAGAAGGGGTCGCGCGCGGCTAATTCCGTCCAGGGAAGTTAAAATTTTGCACATTATTGGAGTCACGATTCAAAATCCTTCGAAAGGTGGAAGTAAAGCGGTTTTTACCGGGCGAAGATGGAGCAAGAACCACCAAGAATCCCCCGGTTTTTACGGAGTCCGACATCCCCATAGAAGAATTCGACAAGCTCTTGCTCTTCACGCTCGATGACCGTGACTCGAAAGACGTCCAAAACCCGACAAGCGCGGTGAGTAAGGCCCGACTTTGGAAGTCTCACAAGGTTAAAAGAGAGGCGATCGACTGGTCGACCCTCTTGACGAAATGCGCCCAAATGGTGGCGACGGGCGACAGTCGAGCCGCGGCTGCTCTTCTAACTGAAATCCGACGGCACTCGTCCCCTAACGGCGACTGGGCCGAGAGGCTGGCCCACTACTTTGCCGACGGGCTTGAGGCCCGCCTGGCGGGGACCGGCGGCCAGGTGTACAAATCGCTCGGGTGCGACCGCATCTCCCCCCCGGCCTGCCTCGAGACTTACTACATGTCGATCGCGTCTTTCCCGTGCCGGAAAGTCACGAACTTCGTCTCGAACAAACTCCTCGCGGCCCGGTCGGCGGGCTCGGCCCGTGTCCACGTCATCGACTTCGGCATCGTCCACGGCTTCCAGTGGCCGACCTTCATCCGACGCTTGGCCCTTCGGCCCGGCGGGCCCCCGAGGCTCCGGATCACTGCCGTCGACTTCCCCAGGCCGGGCCCCGGGCCCGCCAAGATGATGGAGGAGACCGGCGAACGGCTGGCCCGCTACGCGCGGGCCTTCGGCGTCCCGTTCGAGTTCTCCGGGATCGTCGCTTGGGAGTGGGAGTCGGTTAGCACGGCGGACTTCCGAGTCGAGCCAGGCGAATTCTTGGCCGTGACGTATTCGCACCGTGCGAAGAACCTTCGGGATGGGTCGAAAACGGCGGTTCTCGATCTGATACAGAGAATCGGGCCCGACTTGTTCGTGCATGGCATGGTGGACGGAGCGTACGGCGCCGGGAGTCCCCTGTTTCCCACGCGTTTTCGGGAGGCTTTCTTCCAATTCTCGGCATTATTCGAAATGGTGGAGACGACGAGCATGCCCTGTGGGAAGTCCGGGAGAATGCTGTTCGAGGGGATGTTTCGAAAGGAGATAATGAATGTGGTGGCGTGCCAAGGGCCCGATAGGGTAGAGTGGCCCGAAACTCGGAGGCAGTGGCACGGGCGGCACGTTAAGGCGGGGTTTAGGCAGGTCTCGTTCGGGAGGGAGCTGACGGGCTCGGTCGTGAGGAAGGTGAAGGTTTCGGGTTCGTACCACCGGGATTTCTTGGTGGAGGAGGAGAAACAGTGGCTGTTGATGAGTTGGAAAGGGAGGGTGATATTTTCCTTGTCCTGTTGGGAGCCTACTGAGGTCAACAACCTTTGATCACAACATGAATTATCAATTTCGAGTATCCAAAAGATGGATCTATTTTTTCTTAACAAAATTTTCAAATGTTAGGTATATTGTTATCCTTATACTAATTAATAGAGAAATTTACCCCCTATTTTTCATTTCATAATTATTTTTAATGTAACGTGTCGTCTTCATTACGAATATTTTAATTAATCAGGCCCTAATTAATTCTTCTCCACCTAACCCCTCTCTCTTCTTATTTTTCATTCTCATCATTCTTCTTTCTTTCATTCTTATCATTCTTTTTGCGCGACCAAAACCTCAAAATTTTACCCTTTTTTTCTCAAATTTTTTTTCTTCCACGCACCTCAACCCAAAATCGACAGCGGTGATCAAGATAGACTGTCCGTGGCTCGACGGCTCGACTGAATGCGTGGGTAACAGCCGGCAACCTTTAGAGGAGAGCGGCTGACGGTGAGCATCGAATCGGCGGCAACGGACGACAAACTGGCGACAGAGGCGGTAATCACTGGGCTCGACTCGCGGCTGGCCCTAAAATCAGGCAAAAGACTCAGACACAAAGTTGCCATCGTCTTCATCTGTCATATTTGTTTACCTATTGTATACATTTACGATAACTATATATGTCATTCGCGTCGTTTTTTGAATCTACAATATTCGTGCGTCCAATGTATATGTTATTATAACTATATTCTATATAAGAGTCAATTACGTCAATGTCTGAATTGTAAGAAATTTAACGGGCATATTCATAACTGTCAGGCGGAATTGAATAAACCCTAAGTATGTAATTCTATCAAGTCATAGAATATGGATCTTTTGCATAAATTAAATTGCACATAGAAACTTACAAGAATCCATTAGTCCTTCCCTGATCTTGCTCCCGCTTCTCTCGTCGTTTCACAAAGCCCTTGATGTTGAGAACTTTATTTCGTATGAGATGGGAGAGAGAGGCATGTAGGAGACTTACAATTCTAATCCTACTAATATTCCCTATGTTCTAACCTAACTTACTGTCCAAGTCAAACATCACAAATTGGACTCTTTAATATTAGAACATTAAATAATCCTTTAAATAAATATTCACCTTAATTAAGTTTGACTATTAATTCAATTAGGTCCAACTAATTATATAGTCCACAATAATAGAATAATATATAAAATATTATTACATTATCCCACTTGGACCATATAAGTGTCGAAATCCAAAGAACTACTTTAAGCGCGCACCTTTCATCAAACTTATGATTGAATACATATATCTATAAGTTTGAAATTAAAATAGAAATTAACCGAGTCATGGCGGTCACAAGTCTTCGAGCGACATGATTCCTTCCATGTACCACAAATCATTTCTAATTCAACTTTACTTTAATATGAAACAAGCTATTCGTACCATAACTATAAGCCATCCAACTTTTATGTATATACTATAAAATCAAATATCCATAATGATGGTATTAAGTGTGAAGAATCAAACATCTTTAATTGAATTCAATAAGTGCCAAAATCAATAATTGAGCAATTTCATTCAGTATCGGTCAGTCCAACAAGGCCCCATTCGTTATTCCCAATTTTCTTTATATGCCTTGCAACGACTGTAGGGAATAACCCTTTAATGGACCCGCTTTCATGCAAGTAGTACTAGAATGCTCAAATGACACTTTAGTTCTTCACTTCTATTTTTACGACCAAGTATTTCAATTTTATGTGATTCACACCCTTTGAATACTTGTCATTCCTTGAAACTACGATACGGCGATAATTTCTTAGCGGCTTGGACAAGATGTCGACATTTCTAAGCCCTAAGATAAAGCATCGTAGCCCTAAATTCTTGTAGCCTCAAAGCATACCACAAACTCAAACTTAATTGTAGAAGTCGTGGTGATGGACTTTGTCCCACTTTTCTATAATTTTGCTCCTTTAGACATTATGAGAAAAAGTCTGAATCCGAGTATCCAATTATAACCAATAATTTGGATCCTCTTTAAGTTAGCGTGTGTTCTTTAATGCCTTGTAAGTACTTTAAAATTTCTTTGCAGCATAATCATTTAAAATCATTTTTATATTTGTTTAACGTACCAACAACAAATATATTATCAAACCTAGTACAGGTTCGTCTCGCTTAAGACTCCTAATCATTTATATCTAAGAAATTTCCTCCATCACTTTTCATTCCATTTCACCTTTCGAACATTTATTTTAGACTAAATGTGTCCCTTTTATGAATTGGAATTATACGGAACAACCATCCATTATCTCTCAAATAAAACTTTTATGGGATAAACTTTTAGTCCTTATGATCTATTCCAGAATATTTCTATTCCAATTAGCAAGGACGTTTCATCCACATCCTTTAGTTCATAACTTTTTAGAGAGATAATACTTTACTTCGTGCAACATGTCCACATTATTAGCAACTATAAATATGCATACAAAACTTAAATAACAAATCTACTCCGACTGACCTTAATGTAGATACACCGATCTACGGTATTCTCTACAAAACCATAAGCAGTGATGGTATCATTAAACTTAAGATACCATTCACGAGAGACTTGTTTTAGTCCATATATCGATCTATTCAACTTACACACTAACGTTTCATTTCTTTTGATCTAAAAATCTTTTAGTTAGTTCATGTAGATCTCCTTCTAAGTTTATCATTTAGAAGGTGATCTTTATGTCCATTTGATAAAGCTCAAAATCATACAGAGCCACCATTACCATTACAATTCTCAAGTAATCTTTCTCAAAACGAGAGAAGTGTTTCCTTGTAGTCAATGCCTTCCTTTTGGGTGTAACCTTTAGAAACAAGTCTAACTTTATATCTTTCGATATTACCTTTAAAGTCGTGTTTGGTTTCTGAAAAACCCATTTACACACAACTCTTTTAGACCATTCAGGTAATTCTACTTAATCCCAGACTTTTAATGTCATCCATTGACTTTAATTTTTCTTTCATAGCATTGACAAACTTTTCCAGAATTTTCACTTTTCATGGCTTGTGATTCATCAACCACAAGTTGTTCTATAATTTCTTGATTGCTCGTGATGATTCATTATTAAGTGAGTTTGGATCATTTTGTTATTCATCTAAGTTACATGACGATACTGTAACTAAAAGAATAACAATCATTGATGGACTCTAGGGTTTGGACTGTTCAACCTAAGTTTCTTTGACATCCAAACTTTGCAGTTTCAAACTCTCACTGATTTGATCATTTTTAATGAATCGAGCATTGCCGGAATCAACTATTCTCGTACTATAGTTAGGGCTATAAAACTTATATCCTTTAAAACTTTTCGGATAGCCACTGAATAACCACTGGTTGTCCTAGGATCAAGTTTCTTTTCATGTGAATTACATACTTTTACTTCTGCTTGACACCCTTAAACATGATGATGCCTTAAACTATGTTTCCTACCCTTCCATAGTTCATAAGGTATTTAGGAACTACTTTATTAGAAACCCAGTTTACTCAATATGCAGCAATCTTTAACACATGCATCCACATAGAAAACGCTAATGTTGAATCACTCAACCATATTCTTTTAAGTACGATTTACCCTCTCAACAGTACCATTACGTTGAGGAATATCAATTATAGTGTATTGCACACAAATATTTCAAATCTCAAGAAACTTTGCAAATGGACTAGGACATTATCCTCTTTAGTTGAACTTACAATAATATTCACCAATCTAAGGAGATTTCACAACTTTTACTTACTTATCTAACTACCTTTCCATCTCACCATTGTATATCTTTGGATAGTCCAATGATTGAGTCATTTCATGTAGTAGATAAACATAACCATAACGTGAGAAATCATTTATAATGGTGATTAAATACTTTACATCACCCCACAAAGGGACGTTGAATAGACCACAAAAATTAGTATGAATAAGTTATAAGATTTTAATTCTTGTCTTGGCAGATCTCTTTAATGTATGCTAGTTTGCTTTTCGTTCATGCATTTTATATATACATCTTGATCACTAAAATCCAAATGAGAAATGAATTCATTATTCACCATTCTCAAAACTTTTCTGTCGATATGTGATCATAATATTTAATGCCATAAGAGAGTAGAATTTTAATTATGTGCACTGACCTCAAAATAAATATGAGATACATAAGAAGTAGCACAGAATTAAGCCACCTATTATTGGGAATCTTTAATAAATTTGATTAACAACATACGAAATTTAATGTATATTTTCTTTTCGAATCAATATTTTATTTCGGCAATCTTTTCTGAGGTGGGCTAACTTTTTACAGAAATAACACCTTATTTCTTTAATGATTAGACTTGGAAAAACTTTAAGTAAGCCAATCTCCTTTTTCTTGCCTTTGTTTTCCATTTTATCTTACTATTATTGGCTCTCACATGAGATATAAAGTGAATCGACTCTTATTTATTCTCATTTATTCTCGCCTCTTCCTGCACCAGCATAGCCTTATTCCCATTTATCTTTAATGGTATTACAGTTCACCTAGGATTGGCCAAACTCGACAAGTAGGGAGTTCATGATGAATAGAATCATAATGCATCTATCAAATTCATTCTCATATTTGTAAGTTTAGCTTATATGTTGAACATGTTAGACACAATACCATGGATGGAACAGAATTAGTGAACTTCTATAGTGGTGAGTTCGATCATGAAACTTTCCACAATAGACTTTTCCGCAATTTTAAATGGAGATAGTTCCTTGATTCTATTTAGGAATTCTTTTGCATTATCAGCCTTAATGTTATCCACCATGATTAATTTCATAAATCCAAACACAACCTATTTGATCGCTCACATACCCTACGTAGAGTTACCTCTACTTTGGAGCTCTCATCAATAATGGTTATGGAACTTCATCAATAATTAGAGTCATATCCAAATTCATTGAACATAACTGAAATTGGATATGCAGACCATTCATTGAAGTTCAGCCAATTGAATTTTTCAACTATAATACTGTACGGATAACCAAATTTTGAACGCTGCAAACTTTAATACATGCTATTTAGTTAAGCTTTGAGAGACAATTAATGGATTCAGAAATCTTTTAAATTATATATTTAAATATACCTTTAAGCAAATACTTAAATATATAATATACTTGATTGATGCCTCAGA